GCTTTCTCTCTACAGACTGTTCCTCTCCTTGGATCATATAGTGGGACAACCTTGTGTACAACTCATCTGCAACAGCAGTTTGAAGGACACATGACTCAGATTGTTTTCTGTTAACATGATGAAGACATATTGTCATTGTACATTTGTTGATATCTAATGTATCAGTAAAACATTCACGTCTCCACCAGAGTAACTGTGAGATTAAAGGTGGAGTAAACCCTTTGCAGGATGTCAGGTGACGGATCCACCTCTCTGCTGCAGATAAACTTACCTGTCTGGAGGTGTGGAGGTTTCCATGCAGGACAGGAGCTTTGTTTAAAGCCTCGTCTGATCCTTCCAACAGAACGCTGAGAGGAAGGTCAAGGTGAGGACATGAAAAGAAAAGTAAATGCACTTTTTAGAGGATCGATCCATCTATCCATCTATCTATCTATCTATCTGTCTGTCTGTCCATCTATCCATCTATCTATCTATATAACTATTTATGGCTTCTAAAATAATTTTCTGAACTCAACTGTTTCACAAGGTCGTACGAGGAAGAAAAGAGCGAGAAAAGAAAGAAGAGGAAGAAGGAAGGAGAGAAAAAAGGAAAGCAGTTGCAGTATTTTGGCGAGGGGCGGGATGGCTGAATGTGTCAAACAGAAGAAATGATGCAATCTGGTAACAAATTCGAGAGAAATTTTTATTATGAATATGGCACCTGTAAGATGGTCAAAACCGGGTTACAGAAAGACAACCATGTATGTGACTTGTTCCTCTGAACGGATGAGAACCTAGTAAACTTAGAAAAGAACAACTGCTAAATGAAGTATGTACATTTTCGGATTTGCAGCATTATTCATGGTAAATGAACTCAAAAAGATGTCTTTCGAAAATAAAAATAAAAATAAAAATAAAGATAAAAATAATAATAATAATAATAAAAAATAAGCCAGGCACTCAAAGTTAGCATCAGTTAGTCATGTGTTTTCCCTCTTCTGCGAGGAAAAAAAATTAAAACAAAAAATAGAAATGTACCATAGTTTTCTCTTTTTTAATATTTTAATTTGTTTGTATTTAGAATTTTATAACACTGTTAACATTGATAATAAGAGATTCCCTCTCTCCCGTATTTCAGCTACTTGGCACCAAGTTCCTCATAAAAGAATCTGTATAATTGTACAAGAAATAGTTAAAAACACAGACACAGTTTCTTCACAGGTAAATGAAGTGATTTTTCAATATTTGTAATTCTTAAACACTATGTATTTTTGACAGCAGCTGTGATTAAGGTTTTTAAGTTTTTAAAATCACCAGCAAAGTTTTCATTTTTCGACATAAAACACAGAAAAAACATTGAAACAGCTTGGACCGGCTGTTTGGTTTTTGTTACATGTGGGTGTATTTCCTGGTTTCATCTGAGTTATGTGCCCCTCCCCCTCCAAATCTCCTTTTCTCTACCAAACGGGGCCCCGCCATTCGTTTGTGCCCCGCCCCCCGTTGTTCACGCAAAAACCACCAAAAGTAGAAAATGCTAAAATCCAGAGGAGCACGGAAACAAAATGCTCCTGAAAATGACAAATTGAACATTCAACCACAAACGACTCGCCAATCAGCTGACGAGCCGAGCGGCCCAGATCACATTCTCCTTATTGAACACAAAAATAAATAAATACATCGTTAAATTTCATAACCTGGGTTTGTTTTTTTTTTGTTGTTGTTTACATGTTAATCGCAGTAACAAGACACTGATTCTTCACAGAAAGCACAGACGCTACAGATTGTTTTTCCTGATGTGAAGGGGGGATTAGAGGCCCGGGTCGGCTTGACAATACAGACTTTATTCCTCCTGCAGGCCTCCATCACGTCCCCGTTTGGGCTCGACAGACTTTAAAAAACACAAAAACTGCTGGACCAAAAACAAACAAACAAACAAACAAACAAACAAACAAAAAAAAAAAAAAAAACGAGGGATCTATCACGTGAAACGCATCGGACGAACTTACTAAACATGCAGTTCAGTTTTCCAAAACACCTATAAAAATAGATTTATAGTGCGAAATATTTTTTTCTTCTTTTAATTTCTTTAGAAATCTTTAAAATTGTTTTTTTTTTTTATTATTTGTCCTGAAATTCTACTGTGATTTTTTTCTCCCCCCTTGAACCACTTGTTTAACTTTGTTTGTCCCGTGAGAGAAGGTTGCGCAGGAAGTCAACAAGTTTCGGTGGGAACCAATGAAATACACCCAATGCACACAAGAAGCCCCAAGGGACTCTGGGAAATGTTTCACAACTGAGGCTTTTATGGTTTTTCCAGGACTACATCTACAATGCTGCTTTAGGCTTTTTCCTCATCATAATTTATTTCTATAGAGTGTAAATATTTATTAGTTCTTCAATACTTTGTATGCAAGAGCTGGAAACTGCGATTCCCAGAATTCCTTAGTGGCAAAAACATGGCTCCATAAACCTTTGAGCTAGTTAAAGAATCTTTTCATCTCTGAGAGAAAAGACAGCGAGATAAAGAGGTTTGTATAAGACTACACAACAGCAAAAAGCAATAGCAGAGGGAGAAAGAGAGAGAAGGTTTAGAAAACAAACAGAAAAAGAAAAAACAAGGTTTTACAAAGACAAAAAGGAAGCAGCGAAAATAAAGGTGGACTCTACAAATTTTTTTTCCGTTTTTTGCAAAGGCCACCGAACACGAAATTCCACGAACCTCCACTGGTTTCACTAAGACTGCAGATAGAGGGAGACGGAGAGAGAGGCAGCGAAAGAGAGGAAGAGGGTTGTCATTTCTTTTGGGGGACGTCAGTTGTCCCGCAGACCCCACCCCTTTCGCTCTAAGCCCCACCCCTCTCTCATCCCCCACACTAGAGATAGAGCACAGAGAAGACAAAGGACAAAAACAGCTACAGTAGCTCAGTATATACTGCATATAGTCAACACACACAGAGAGAGAAGTCGCCATGAAAGACTTTTGACAGCCAGTGACACTAAACACATCGGTAACACGTTTTTACGGCTTAATCACACTGGGTAATAAGGATGACGGGATGGTAAAGACGGGGCTGTCAACTTCAAAAAGATGGACGTTGTGACAGTTTTTATACCATTTTAATTATTACTTATTCTCATCTTTTTTTTCCTCTTTTTACCAAAAAAGTAGAAGAAAAAAAAATTACAAATGAACGAGAATCACAGTGCTTTTAAAACACCAAACATTTCTTTTTTTGGCAAAGGAGGCTGGGGAAGAAAAAACACAGAACAGAAGAACAACGACAAAGACAACGTTGTTTAAAGGAATGTGATTTTTTTTTCTCTTCCTCAAAAAAAAAAATTCATATTCTTTTTTTTTTGTAGTTATTGGATTGATTGTTTGATAGATTGATTGATTGAAAATGCATGTCTTTATTACAATCTCCTTGTTGATATGTGGTTTTTATCACAGGGTCCGGCGATGAGATGGAAGAGAGTGGATTGTTTAGGAAAATCTCGTGGAGGTGATTCTGGTTTAGGAAGAAGAAGAAGAAGAGGAGGAGGAGGAGGAGGGGGAGGAGGGGGGAAAACAAACAAGAAGAAGTTGTAGTAGAAAAATAAAACAGTGATCAAAGAGGAGCCGGTCGAGGTTTTCAACATTCATTTTTCAAGTTAGTGACGCTAGCTAATTAGCCTCAGTCTCACTGAGAATTAAAAGTGATTCAGTTAGAAAACACATCAAAATAAAAACAACACTATGTAGCCTAAAATTCAACCAATCAACTCCATGCTGCCCAGCGGAGCGGCCCCTCGTGGCCCAATCAAATCGGGGATTTTTTAGACTAGGAGGGGCGTGTACGGTGAAACATGGAGGCGATGCTGCTGATTTCGAGGTTTCTGACTTTCCTGAAGGTCAGAAGAGAGAAAAGAAAAAATAGACTCAAAATTGTTCCCCCTCCAAAAAAAAAGAAAGAAAACAAGGATCAGTCTGTCAACAAGCTGTGGGTTCGTTTACAGCACCCACATCAGCCAGCTGAGTCGGGGTTACTGGATGGTCGGTAGCACCATGAATCTGTAGATCGAAAGGTAGAAATGCAGACAGAGAGATTAGAGATCAGGAAGTGATAGAAGAGCAGGAACGACAGATTGACATGGGAAGAGATGTGACGGAGGTTATGTTTGGTGCGAGACCTGTCGGTAAACTCCTGGGATAAAAGAGGAAGTAGTAACATTCGATAATTCACAGGTCATTACCCGGCTGAAATTGCTTTTTTTGTTTTTCTTCTTAATGCTTGATTTGAAAGTTAAATCTGAGCTAGAATATTTTATAAAAAAGGAAGAAATGAAAGAAACTCTAAACTATTCCCTCAATCGAGAAACGTCCTCAAAAACCTTTTTTCAAAAGATTATTATCTCTGAGACCTTTGTCGGGTGCAGGACAGCCCCCCCCCCTCGGTTTAAAAACTTTCTTTTCAAGCCTTGATCACATCAAGAGACATACAGAGGAGCGCCACAAAGAGTTTTCTGTCCATTACAAATCCCTGTACCGTCCTCCATTAAATACACACAATCAGCATCTTCATAAAGACGCAACAGAAACATGTCAAATAATAAAAATTATCCCGTCAGGCTCCAGCGGAGTCCTTAGGCAATATGAATTCTCTGTAGGCAAAAAAGGAATTCTTTACAATAAAGAAGAGTCTGTTTTTTGTTCATTTGTTCAGGAGAAAAATGTCGCTGATTGCAAGAAAGAGGAGCAAAGAGAGAGACTGAGAGAGGAGGAGAGGAGGATGAGGAGGAGAGAGGAGGAGATAGAAAAGGGGACATATTGAGGGTCATTCATGTCTATTACACAAGCTCAGTTGCTCAGATTCAAAGTGCTAGAGTACATTTGTCATCCTTTCCTGTCCTTTCTCCCCCCTCTGAAACACAGTGCTGCACCGTGTTCTTAAAGATAGCAAGTAAATTGTCTTTTTTTTTCTTTTGCTTTGACACAGTTGTTGATTCCAGAAACACAGTAATGCGGTCGTGAAGGTTTTGCATTAATCCTCCTTCCTCTCCAGAGTGGTCTGCGTGGTGTGGATCCCGTTGCTGTACACCGGGAACGGTAGCGTCGAGAAAAGTCCCTCTGCTGTGGTGAAAACGTTGGCTGCGGTCGGCATCTGGCCTCCCAGGGCGCCGTTCCCGCCCGTGGCCGACGGAGAACCGACGAACGGGCCGGCGGCGGCGGCTGCCGACATGTTGAGCCTGTGGACGTGGTGGTAGAGCATCTCCATGGGCGTCTTGGGGTCGAGGCCGAACCCCGAGCCGTCGACAAAGTTCATGGCGGCGTTGGGGAGGAGGTTGCCTTGCGCCATTGCCAGCGTGACGTCCGCTGGTGCGTACCTGATGGTCCCGGTGGTGTACACCCGTGGAGCCGTGGTGCTGGTGGGGGCCAGAGTCCCCGTGACCCGGTGGACCAGCGGGAGCACCACGTTACCGGCCTGCAGACGCTGAAGAGCCTCCAGGTCACCAGAGTACAGCAGTGAAGAGGAAGAGGTGGATGAGGAAGAGGAGGAGGACGATGATGAGGAAGAAGAAGAGGAGGTGGTGGGAGTGCCTTGTTGCTTGTCCCGCGGGGAGGCGGAGAGAGGAGGAGACAGCGGGTCAGCAGAGGAGGCGCTGGAGGGAGGAGCTAAACTGGCGGCACTGGAAGCCGAGGACGGGGCGGAGCTTCCGTTGTAGGGAGGCTTCCTCACTCCCCCGGCCCCTCCCTCTGTTCCAGGAGGGGTGAGGACAGAGTCGGGGATGGACACCTGGAGAGAGCCTCCCTGGGGTGAGGGGAAGGTCTCGTGGGTCCCGGGAGCGGCCGGCTTGGAGGTCATGCTGTACGGAGACTCGTTCCTGGAGATCTCTCTGTTGGGGGGGTAGTTCCAGATGCTGCTGTCGTTGTCAAAGTTGATGGGTTCTGCCATCTCAGTCTTGATCTTTAGGACCGAGGACGTTGCACCCGCGCTGTTTGGGGAGCCGGAGGAGGTGAGGAGGTGGGAGGAGGTGGTGGATGTGGCCTGGGCGGGGTCCACCAGTGGTGTGGTATCTCCCATGGCGACGGGGCTGGGCGTGGTCGAGGACAGGCGGAGCCTCCTACTTCGTGACCCGTCCCATTTCTGCACTTTCCTCCTCTTCCGCCTCTTCTGGAGTTTGCTTCCAGCACCATCGCAATCCTGCGCGCCTCCTTCCTCCTCATCGTCCTCATCCTCATCTTCCTCCTCGTCCTCCTCCGATGAAGACGTCTGCGAGTTGTGCAGCTGTACGTCTTCCCCCTCTCCATAGTGCTCTACTTTAATATGAAGCCCGCCCAGATTACCAAGTCCTCCGATGGCGCCCAGTCCCCCTAAACCTCCCAGTCCTGCTAACCTGCCCAGCCTTCCTCCTCCCCCTCCCCCTCCCCCTCCCCCTCCCCCCTCTGGCCTCCTCCTGCTCCTCCCCCTCTCCCATTTCGGTAGAAGGGTTCCAAGAAAACTGTCGTCGCTGTCCTGGCTCTCAGGGTTACTCGAGCTGTCTCCTTCTTCCTGACGTTTCATTTCTGTTCAAGAGGAGCAATGCGATTGGCCCGGGTTGCTGCTGGCGTTTGCTGTCTGTCTCCGGGTCCTCGCTGGCGCTCTTGATTGGTGGCCTGGCTTCCCCTCGGACTTGGCGTTCTCGTTGTTCTGTGGAGAGGATGAAAGTTGGTTAACAAGCAGGACAGACAAAAAAAAATGAGCTTTTACATGAAGCAGCACGTGAAACTGGAGAGTAACTCTGTCATTCATTCATTCATTCATTCATTCATTCGACAACAGGGGTGTGTTAGGCTTCAGGGTGAGGACAGATTCGGCCAACCTCTCTGTTCCACACTGAGACATGTCTCGACAGCTGTTGGTTGGTTGCAATGGAGTTTGTTTGTTTGCAGACATTCGACTTGAGGATTAATTGTAACTTTGGTGACGCTTCAACTTACAGCTCCACCATCAGGTCACAATATTAATCCGCCTCGTACTTTACTTTAATGACCAAATACCTGATAAATCGAAGACGATCAAAAGACACTGGATTGCTGTAATTTGGTTCTGAATTGGCGAATAGATGATATGGTTTACTAGAGAAGCATTGTGTGATGGGACACACCAACCGTGATGTCCGTCTACTACACACACTACTCACTCACACACACACCACTCACTCACAACACTCACTCACATACTCACTCACCACACAACTCGCTCACACACTCACCTCACACCGCAACACAGCACACACTCTCTCACACACACACACACACTTCGCTCACACACTCACTCACCTAACAAACACACACACTCACACACACACACACACACACTCACACACTCACACTCACACACACACACTCAACACACAACACCTCACACACACACACACACTCACACTCACACACACTCACACAACACACTACACACACACTACACACTCACACACACTTCACACACACTCACACACACTACAACACTCACACACTCACTACACACACACACTCTCACACACACACACTCACACTCACGACACACACACTCCACACCACACACACACTGCACACACACACACCACACTCACACTCACACCACACACCACTCACACACACACACACATACACACTACTCACAATCACACAGCACTCCACACACACACTCAACACTCAGCACACACACTCACACTCACACACACACTCCTCACACACACACTCCCACACACACCACACACACACTCACACACCACACTCACCACACCACAACTCACACTCACACTCACACACACTCTCCACACACACGTCACACACACTCACACCACACACCACACTCACACACACTCACCACATCCACTTTACTTACACTCCACTCACACAACACACACTCACTCACACACACACCACTCACACACACACACACACACACAACACACACACACACACACACACTCACCACATCACACACACACACTCACACTCACACACACACACACACAAGCTCAACACACACACGTCACACACACACACTCACAATCCACACACAAACCACACTCAACACACACTCTCAAACCCTGCCAGCTCACAACCGAGGCCTGCGGCTGTCCAGGCTGGCAGCGCTCTGACTCCCCATGGCACCTGAAATGTCGACTCAATTGTCTGTCTGGGGAAAAACCTTGTATCTCCATTAAGTGTGGTTTCCAAAGCAAAACAAGTTTATTCTCAGGCTGGGGGGGGGGGGGGGGGGGGTGTTTATGGGCAAAATTTATAAAATACCACTTATCAGGATCTGTCAGGTAGAACAAAACAAAAAACAAATACTTTCTCCCGCTCTTATTTCCATCGTTGTCCTTTGTGTTTTCACAGTCACCAAATTAGAGGCAGACTACAAATTGATTGATTGATTTTTGATAATAATGTAAAATAATAATATACAATATTACATATATTTATATTATATACATTATTGTATATATATATTTTCTTGACGATGTCATATTATGGTCAATGTAATTATATTACATTATGTTGTAATAGCACAAATAAAAAAATAAAAACAAACCCATTGCTGGTTTTGGCTCCTTTAGTCATCCTAACAGAACAGAGGTCAAAGGGCAGATATCTCAATTTTAGGAATACGTCGAGCCTGAGCCACCTCGGGCCTGTTGGAGCCGGCTGAAGCTGGCCGCTCCTGTAGCAGCTGGCATCAGTTTACAGGCCAACAGCGTGCCAGAATCGTTCTCGCTCCAGCAAGAGTAACAGCTGGCACTGATTCTCATCATTCAACACAGGCTGCAGGACTTGATAATATTATGCTGAAGGTGGAAGGCCCGGTAATTGTTTAAATTTTTAATTTTTTATCTATAACTATACTCAATGGCACTGTGTGAGCTTTGTCCTCCGTCAGTATTGGCTGCTTGAATGCTGGGTGACAGACAAAGTTAATTCCTTGATTTGGTTCTGTAGATCTGAATGACGCCAGAAACATCTAATTTAGTTGTCTGCATGGATTCTCACATCAGGTGAGATTTATTAGACTTATTTAATGTGTCTACATTCATTATTCAAATTCTGTTATTTCCAAATAATTAATCTTCTAAACTGTCTAAAAAATTTTAACTTAAAACACGACTTGGTTGTCAAAGCTTGTTGAGAATTAATGAGTGAATTAATGAAACACTTTGTTTTGAGTTGTACTAACCTTTTTGTCTTGGTCGTTGTTTGGTAACCTACAGTAGAGACGGCCGTGTCTCCTCCAGGCCCTGTGGCCAGACACTGCTGAAGCTCGCTAGCTAACATTAGCTCTGCGTGGCTGAACGTTCGTCTCCAGCTGACCCGAGAACCCGCGGGAACAGCCTGAATGCTTCTGATGGCTGTATCTAAGATCTTTAACAAACGGACTACAGACCAAAAGCTATGAGGCCCTCGTGTTATAGGTCAGTGTGATGAAGAACTGTTTTATTCATGACATCACCCTATTCGGATGCTTGTTGGCCCAACACACCGCCTGGATCTTCGGCCCACCGGCTTGTTATCACTACGATGATGAACTGATGGCCAGGAGATTTTCTTTGTGTGCGTCAGAACTGGTCCAGATCTGGAGGGAGGATCTGACACTCACTGCGTTTATGGGCCAGACTCAAGGCCGTGGAACCCGGCGTGTGCTGGGCCAGAAGAAACACGAGCATGTGGCCCGAGTATGGGATTGAATAGTGTTGTTTTGCATTTTCAGACAGTATGTTTTTTTATGTTGCAAAAGAAAAGGCTTTTGAGGACACTACAAAAACCGGCTGGATTGAGCTAATGTTTAGCCTGAGCTCTGAGTGGACCAAGTCCTCACGGTGGATGATTCAGTCCTGCACCTTTTTCTTTTCTTTTCAACATAAAGTTCTACTCCACAAAATAAACGTAGATATAAAATATAATTTAGTTAACTAATGATGTGCTCCTTTGCCTTGAAGTAACACCAAGTTACTTCTGTTGATGGTAAGCTAGTTAGCACAGCATGCTAAGCTTTGTAGCTCACATTAGAGTTGACAAACACACAGATGAAGCAGAGACCAAAACATGTTGTTTCCTCTTTCACTGCTTCGTTTTCCATTCTGATGTTTTTACGTCTGCAGCAAAAAGAACTGCATCATTTTCTTTCAGGCTTCACAGACATTAAATGTTGAGGAGAACATGTGTTGTGTGACTCTTGTCGTTTTTTTCTGGTTTTTGTTCATTTTTTCCGAGGCTTTTTCTCTGGTGCTTTGTGGCCTTTTTAGGGAGGAGGGGGCATTTTGTGGCATTCTGTGAGTTATGCCATGTTTTATGTCATTTTTGTGGTGGTTTTGCAGCAGTGCCAGGAAGTGCTCAGTCCCTGCAGCTGTTGGCGTCCATCTCCACCCAGCCTGGCACAGACGGCACACTGGCACCAAGCTATAAAATATCTTTGGCTTCTCTCATTCAGCTGTATCTCTCAGTGCTGGTTATTCTGCTGGTAACAACTTGTAGAGGTTTCTTGGAATCATACAAGTTTTTATCAACATGTCGTGACTCATTTCATCTTTATATTATATAAAACAGTGAAAAACCAAAGCAAAGATAAATACATTTAGGGTTATTTGGATGTCGGATGTAAGTACTCCTCCATCGCTCCCTTCCGTACCTGAGTTTTCTTTGGACTCGGACTCGGAGTCGGAGGTTTCGGAGGATTCGGAGGTTTTCCTCGGGCAGGTTTGGCAGCTGGGCGATATCCATGGGGCGTGGTCTTTATACTCTGGATTACTTGTGAAGTGACACAGAAAGGTTTTTGTTTCAGTTGGTTGTTGTGATATTAGACTGTGAGAGAATTGTTTTCACTTAAAGGTCGCAAACAGTATTTTTTCTTCTTCTTCTGTGTTTTAAGTCTTGATCCATATAGAAATCCTATTAGTTAGTTACATTATAGTTTTACATCTCCTCTCTCAGGCTTCTCTCTGGAGCTCTAGTAACAACAGGTCAGTGAGCCAATCAGAAGAGAGGAGGCTCTGAGCTATAAACTATATAAATAATATATATAAAACTAATAGTTTACTAAACTAATATTAAAGATTTATTTCCTCTTCTCTCTCATATTAACACCTGCTCTGCAACATAAACAGTTCCCTTGTATTTAATATACATTTGTGCAGTTGTATTATTTAATTCCCATTTAATATTCAACTTTTTAACTTTTTCATAAATTCTTCATTTTTTTTTAAAATGAATTAATCTGGTTTTGTCACTCTTTGTTCATTGAAAGACAAACTCTGGGAATGTGTAGATGTAGTGAAACTTTCATGCGCCATGAACGACAATGATGACCAGTTGACCTTGACCTGAGAACGTAGTTGACCCAGATGATGTCTTCTCGCTGGCGTTCTTGGCGTTGACAGCGATGGTGGCGCTGGACTGGATCCAGGATGTAACCGCCATTTTTCTGGATCCACCGGTAATACTTTGTCACACACTGACGCCTTATTCATCACTGAGAGAGAGAGAGAGAGGGAGAGGGGGAGAGAGAGAGGCAGTCCAATCAGATGTCATGTGAAGCTGGCTGAGAGCTGCTCTGTTGCTGCCGTCATTGAAATCAGACCACACACACCACTGCCAGCCTCTGTGTGTGTGTGTGTGTGGTGTGGTGTGATAAGTTGGAGAGAACACACACACACTGTGACAGGATGTGGATCTTAATATGTGCTTTGAAAAACACTAATTGACATGTTTGATCCCCATACCTCCCGCTTCATGATATTCCCACCATAGCCTGTTAAGCAGTTAGCGCGTTACATGTCTGAGGAAGACCAGTGTCACTGCAGCTGAGTCCCAGTTCATGGGGCCGCATCCTCCGTAGGAACGTGGACCTCGTGAAGGTGTGGTCCCTTTGCAGGCCGCGAAGAACTGAAAGACGGTCTAACGGAGGATTTACGCTGTACGTCGCAAGCTCTTCCGCCCTTACTGTTGTGTCGCAAAGCGCCTCTTCTGCCGCCAAACATCGATCAAACAGGAACGGACGGAGGAGCGTTAACAGTAAGAGAGATCTGAAGATCAGTAGATGCTGACGGTCGTTGTGCAGGAGCGTCGAGCGGTGATTGAGGACGAAATGACAAGAACTTCTGGTTAATTTCATGAGGAAAATGACAGGGACTGCATCAAACAGCGTGACTCGAACCCAGTCCAGCGAGGTGGAGAATGCCTCCGTGGTCCATGACGTATCCACCAGAGATTCATTGAGTTCGGTAATGAAAGAGCAAACATCACCACAGAGAGTCTGAGCGTACACTAATTAATGTAAGTGTTGACCGTGAAGCACGTGTAG